CACGTCCAACACGGTCCAGGTGGATCTTTTCCGTTTTTTCCTCTGGTTATTTTTTTAAGTTAAATTTTTCTTCTGATGGACCTTTTTATGTGCGACACTCCGCTTTCCTCTATGTCACGACTGTCCTGTTTCAACGCAACAAACCGTTCACAGTCTTCCGCTAAGCTTTGTAGTTTTAAATTCGGCTCATTTTCGAGTTTATTTAAAACACGACGCCTGATCTCAGCGTCTTTACCTAAAACCACCCCTTGCACAAATATTAAACATTTAAAATTATCTGATGATAATTCCTCCAGTTTAAAGTCGTCGCAATGCTTGTTTACAATACTTGCATAAGTAGTGTAATCATCTTCCTCTCTTCTAGTGACATTCATACACTTATATCTCCTGTGAAAAAGAAGTTTTTGTAGAAAACAGTTCCGATAGTAGAGTAACTGTCTCTTGAAAGTTCAACTCACTGGTCTTTTTTGGAAGGATAAAATTCACGAACTTTGTATGCTCGACAGTTCCCAATTTTCTTAGCAGAAACCTAACTTTTTTAGCGTCTGTCCATGTACCGCAATCCGATACAAAAATATCCTCATATCTTCTATAGAAATGAGCAAACGTGACATCATCTTCTGGATTATAATTGAAACTTTCAATAGCGTTCCACACAGCCGTCTGGGAGAATGCGTTATGATTCTCGCTTGCATTCGTTAACTGTGTTGCCTCCAGAAGTTTCCTCTGTTCCTCCCGTGTTTTCATAAAGATTTGTTCGACGCGTTTCTGTTGTTCCAACAACTCTTTTTTAAATTTCTCCTCACTTTCAAGTTGTTGTTGAAGTTGTTGCCTTTGCAACGCGAGACTTTGTTCCGTTTGAAATTTGAACAATTGAAGAAGAGACTCTTAATTCTGCGTCCATGTTACGAATTCAATTTACGCAGCATACAGTTTACACTTGTATTAAACAAATCAGTTTTCCCAAAGGCTTGCTTACTAAAATTAGTTTGCTCAACTAATACACAAACAAGAAATATGTATTTCTCGTAAAAAACAAAAAAATCCGTCGCTTTAAGGAGTGTCGACTAATGGGAAAGTCACAAAAATTTTTTCCAACCTCTTTGTGGTTTTTGCACAAATATGACTCGAATTTTTAACAGTCTTTGTTAAGCACAAATGACTTACGCGAATATATATTTTTCATTCGACAAATCATTTAACTTTGAAGAGGAGAAAAAAAAAATCTTACCGTGACAAAAAAAAAAAAAAAAACTCTGGTTTCTTGTAAAGAAAACAGTGAACCTCTTTTTTTTTTTCGAAACCCTTGGTGTCAGTATTTTCAACTATAATTGACAATATTACTCGCGTTCTCACGTTGTAGACTTTTGGTAGCAAATTTTTGGTTGTTTCTAATAATTTTTTTTTTTTAAGTCGACAAATTACTATTGTAGTAACTAATTTGCTATTAATCCTTGCGTATCCACATATCTGTTTGAAATGACGAAGGTGTTTTGCCGTAAAAATCTTGCGAATCCTTGTATTTCAATCACTTTAGGTGATTGTCTGCAGTGATATCTTTTCGATTCCGACGTCGCCAATCTGTTGTGTCATGGCACAATAGTAAAAAATAAGAAAATCAAGTCGAAGTTGGTTTAAGGAACAAGTATATTTAACATCACAGATACAAAGGTAGGAAACTAGTACTGTCGCTACTTACACCGGGTAGGTATTACTGGCACTATATATAGTGAGAACCGGTGTAATTCCCTTGTGTTAGAGGCCGGTGCAACAAAATATATATATATATATATATATATATATATATATACGATTCCAATGGAATAAATTATGACCATGGAATATTAGTGTTTAAGCCTTTTTATCATATATATATATATAATGTGTGTGTTATTTTGAGATTTTTCTCATGATTGATGGAACTCTGTATTGAGAGATGAGAAGTATTTTTATACAGGTTTCTGTTCATGTTATCAATTTGGTCGGTTGAAAAATCTTGTTAAGTTTCTGTTTATTTTGTTTAAAATGTCCAAATGTGAATTTAAATAAATAGAAAGAAAATTCAATACGATAAGAAGATCTGATCATCGTCAGAAAATGATTTGCATTTATTTTCTCTATTCTAGTAAAAGGAACATGTGAAGACTATATGAAGAAGAGTGATTTATTTTCTATCTAACAGAAAAAAGCAGGGAAAGACAGAGACAGAAAGACTGACAGACGGAAAGAAAGACAGAAGGAAAGAAAAACAGGAAGTAAAGTAATGAAGGAAAGAAAGAAATGAAAGGAAGAAAGAAAAGAGTGAAAACGATAAAACTATTCTTTCCTTAAACTAAAAATTGTCAACTGAATTTGACCAAATCAACAAGAATTGACAGGAAAGAGTCTAAGCAGAAAACTGCTTGCATTGATTACAACTTTTAGGTTTTAAAAATTCAGCTTCTTATAGGGGGCGTGATGTAATGGAAGAACCCGGCACCCCCATGAATGATTACACGATAGGTAGTAAGTACCTATAAAGTCAACAGTCTACGGAAGACGAGAGAAGTTGTGAGAGAGACGACGAAATCACATCCGATATTCCAATTGGTGGCATTCACTACTAGATTGACCTGTGTATAACTGTACCGTATTTCCTATTGTACTGATTGTGTACAATAAACCTTTCTTCTAGTATCCACCTGGTGTTATTTATTTACGACGAGGATTGTCGGAACATAACGGGGGGGGGGGACAAAAGAAGACAAAAACGAAGAACTTATGATCTTGAAATCGTTACAGACTTCACACTATATCTGTGTGAAATTGTCAATCGAATTTGACCAAATCACCAAGAATTAATTCGATTCTTAATTTTACAGCAATATTAAAAGTTCCTGCTGTAGAAAAAAAATAGGCGTGTGCTTTTTTGGAGGATTTTTATTTATTTATTTAAAGACCTCCCTGCAAAATAAATTTAAAAAAACAACAACTTTTTTTTTGTTTTTTGTTGTTTTGTTTTACTGTTTTTAGTTTTTACAATTAAAAAATTAGTGTTGAGAAATTTTGTACAAACTTAATAAATTTAAGTATCGCAAAGGGATTATCTTAAACGAATTTATTTTTTTCTATACTTCAACCATGCACGCACACATGAGAGAGATAATCACTAAGAAATTCACAAAAAGACTAGATGTTCATTGAAAAGAGATCTCTGAAACCCAATGTTCGGAATAATCCATAAATTTAAGATTATGAAAATAGAAATAAACACTGGATAGTGACTTTAGAGCATGTCACAAAAGCTCGATCTCCGATATTGAGCACTTTCCTCTCACCCCATAAATATAGCAAATTATATGAGACGATCATTTAAAAAAAAGTAGTAATTGTCATAGGAAATGTTTCGTAAAAATGCTTTCGACAACATTCGGCTTCGTACTTATTAATGTGCCTAGGCACACATACACTGTGTGTGTGTGTGTGTGTGTGTGTGCTTGTGTCCCCAAAATGTTTCGTGATTTCTGAAGAGCTCGCACGAACTAACTCCAGTGCATTGTGTAGCGACAAAACTCATATATTTTATATAATTTTTTTTTCTCCTGATGATGGCCATGTTGGCCGAAACTAGTCGAGGAATCTAAATGAAATAATAAAAACGAAAGAATATTAATATACAACCCAATGTGTCGGAGGATTTTAATTTTTTTTATTGTTCAATATATAGGTTTATCTTTATTATGTTTAGCCTACTAGGTTTAAATTCTAAATTTATTCTATATTTATCGATATACTGATTTACATATCTATCTTGTTACCTATTATTTTTTTTTAATTAAAAGTCACTTTATTTTAATTAATTTATTTATATTGGATTTATTATTATTAGTGTTATCTTTATTAGTCTATCTAATTTGAATTTGTGAGGATTACTGCTGCCTAAAATAACAATCTCAATCGGACAATTTACAGCAACTCTTTCAAGTTCGATCACACTGCACATCACACGATGTAAGAAATTGTTCAAGCCTTTAAAGAAAAAATACTTGGTCAGTTTATTCTATTTTAGTTTTACTGCTACCCCATCATTTATTTCTTCTTTCTTCTCTTTCTCTTCCTTCACTCTCTCATGTTTTAAAAGAAATTATATTCGAAAATCTGTTATTTTTCTTTCTTCTTCTCCCCCTTCTTCTGTTAATCTAGTATTTCAGTCCGGCTGAATTATCTCCATTCATTAAGAACTTTCGCTCTGAAGAGATGAGTATATAAAAATATTCACGAAATTAATTTTAATCCAAATGGATCTTTAAAGTTTTTTCTTGACTTATTATTATAATTCTCTTTAATTTAAATTTACATGGGTTAATATCCTCTTTGGAATTATCCCGACCAGTCACAAGTTTTTATTATATATATATATATATATAAAACTTATATATTTTCTTGAGCAGATATGATCGATTGTGTTTTTATAAAAACGGCTAACCAGACGCTTCTCTGTAGCTGAACGGTATAGCTCGTCAAATCAAATGACTTTTTCCGTATAGAAGAACACATATTTTCTACGAAATTTCTCGAACATTCATGCTGTTAAAAACAAAGCATTTACTTTAATAAATTATATATAAACTTCAACATAGAGACAATATAGATGAACTTTTTAATAATAATAATATATATATATATATATATATATATATATATATATATATATATATATATATATATAATAGTGGACATTGAAGAACAACACCCAGAGGCCACAGGCTGTTTCATACTAGACGTAATCGTAAGGCCTGACGATTGCGTCCAGCATGAAACAGCCTGTATTATTCTCAGGGTTGACTTCAATGTCCACTTTTAAATTTATATTTACATACGCTCTATCTCTGATACTGAGCACTTTATCCCACAAATATAGCACACTTTAATACTATATTTATTCATATATATATATATATATATATATATATATATATATATATATACATACACACACACCTTTTATTTTCTCTTTTCAGGATATACTGGAAAATGATGATATCAAACTTGACTGGACATTCAAGCAATCTCTTTTATCAGACTTGGTCAACGTAAATATATCATTCCTTAAATCCACAAAATACCGAAAAAGTTCTTTAGAAGTTCGTATAATTAGATTAGAAAGAATTTTTTAAAAATGAAAAATTATTTTGATTAAAAAACTTCATCGTAAAAATTCTTAAAAGTATAATTTCTGTATTTTGTTCTAATGTTTTGTATTGTTATCATTAAACCATCTTTTCTTTTCCGTGGTCCAATAAATTCAATGATGAAGTCATTGTCATATTGATTAAGAATTGAAGAAATCTAGAAAGAAAACTAAATTGGAATCTTTTTTCAAAAGCATAAACGCGGAAAAAAGGCCAGTGTCTTCGATAATATTTCAACTCGAACCGCGAAATTCTAGGTTCATAATTGCATCAACTAAGTTCTCCTCAGCATCAAAATGTATTAATATTTTTGACAGGATAAAAAAAAAAAAAATCAGAATAAATTTAAAAAAATATTTTTAGAAAAATATTTCAACTTCTCTCGGCATTCTTTTGCAACGATGATTGGAATTTACGTATTTTTTTTTTTTTTAATTAAATTTCTTCGATGTTCTGGTCTATTTACTTTCAGGGTATGGCCTACATTCACTCGTCCAGTCTCGTATCCCATGGGCGTATGAAAAGTAGCAACTGTGTGGTGGATAGTCGATGGGTACTGAAGATCACAGATTATGGCCCAAGCGCGTTGCTTCATGTCCAATTCAATAGTAGAGACTCAGAAGAACAAGAAAAATTTAAAGGTTCGCCATTTCCTAGTCATATTTTTGCAATACTGACTCATCATATTTTGAGATATTCAAGTATCACTGCAAATTGGTGGCGCGCCATTTGCTTCTTATATTATACATATTGTAACCTTATTCTTACAACTGTCTTAATTTCTGTTCAATGACAATCGATTTCTTTCCTGGGTTTGATTGCTTCTCGTCTGGTAAGCCTGTCTTGTAGAATCGTAGAGTCAGTGACGTGCAAAGGTTTGATGATGCCTAGGGCCAGCTCTTTGACTGTATGCTCCTAAGACTCAGGTAGGGGGGCTCTCGCTTATCAAAACACGGATCCACATTCACACCAGATTGTAAAGCGCCTGTACAACGAAGTTAACAGAGACGATTTCAAAAATTAAATTGTTATTTTTCACTCTTTGATTGGATGTCATCTCGATATGGATGTCCGGGGCCGTGACACCTTCCGCCCACCACTGAGTGGCTAGCCATATGTTGCTCAGCCACATTTTTTTCTTCAAAATCCACAGAGCCCACCCGTGGTTTATACTGTAACTATGCTGAGTAGACATTAGTTACAGTTTCTGGGAGAAAGTGCATAAATGGCTTGTGAGCCGTGAAGTTCATCACAGAGTTTATACATAAGTCGATCTTATTGCATAGACTGACCATAGATTTCCAGTTAAGGACACATGGCACAGTGGATAAAGACGTTAGTTAGATCCAGTGACAGGGTCCAAAGAGTTCAATACCTGGTTAAGATTGTGGAGAACTTGGAAAGGGGAATTAACAGGAGATAACTGACATCCATTAGACATGGCACGTGGAACTAGAACAGTCTACCCCAGTGAGCGAAATAAATGGTTCAGTTTGACATTCCAACCACCTGAAGAAGGCGGTGGCGTACAACGGCCGAAACGTTGTAATAAATATGGCGACAAAGATGAGGACAATAGTCTGAATAAGGTAAATATTGTAAATAATACCTCATCTCATAGACAGATACGGAAGAAATCATAAAGTTACGTGATTCGTGTTTCGGATCGATTCTAGCCTTTTCTAAATAATAGAATAACACATAAGGATAGCAAACTCCATTTTTGATGACATGTGAAATATTTTTAGGAAAATCTTGCTAGAAATTTCCCTGCTGACGATTGGGAAAACTTTAGAACTGAAAGACAGAGGCAAAATGATGTTTTCCTATCTATTTTTTAAAATATGTATCATATCCTTAAATATATATCACAGATGGTACCCAACTGACCCTACTATACTGGTCAGTCAACAAAATCAAACAACGCGCATGCGCGAAATTAAAAATATAAAATGGCGGCGACAATTTACCCATTGCACCCTTTATATTTATATACACATTGTTTTTAGTTGTGAAACTGCAAGTCACTATGCAGTATTGATTTCCCTCTCGACTGTTTTTTATACACACAGATACATGTGAATCTGAAAAATTCTTGCCACAGTCAAGAAATGACTAAAAAAAAATTATATATTTATATAATGTTTTTCTTTTTCTCATTTTTTCATACTCAGTAACCCCCTTGCGTCTTAGCAGATTTTTTTGTCTTGCTTGGGGTGAAATGATTACAAAAATAATCATCAGTTTTTCAGCTTTTGATTTAGTCAACTGTTGAATTCTTTTGACTAACATTATTCGAAACAGTTTTTATTCCTCCCTAAAAGATTTTTTTTTATCTATGGCCACCACCACACCATTTTTTAAAATTTCCAAAGTTTTTCAGATTACCCATGGTAATCTTTACATATGCGAAATTAAAAACTAAATTTCAGTAACGACACTTATTTCTATCGGGTCACCATTTTATGTTTCGAATATTATTAATCGATCTGAGGGTAGTAAGGTAGGGATAGTGTTGTAGTCGCATAGGATGTTTTCTCAAACAAGAAGTAAGAATTAAATGACAAACACTGTTGTACATTTTAAAAACTTTATTGCCGCAGCAAGCAAGATGGGATTTTGGTTTGGTTTGGTTTGTTTTACGGCATATCAACACCTCAATGGGTTATTTAATGCCGACAACATTTATTTTGATTGTAATATTTAGTTTTTGTCAAAAATCTATTTCTGGTAACCTTTTTCCTTCAAAAGTATATAGCTGGTAATAGTTTTGTTTATTTTTTCTACAAAAATTAATTCCTGGTAATAATTTTTTACGAAGTATTTCTGGCATTAAAACCTATTTTTACACTTTCATGGTGTTTTTACCACAGTTTCGGGGTTAACTATTTGCCCATACCTGGGACCCTAACAGGTACTACCATCCTGGGTCAGGGTGGACCTGGGAACACCAGCAATTCAGAGGTGGTTCCACGTTCCTCAAAACCTCCTGATCTGAGGCCTTGCTGTTCGACGTAGTGCGATATATAGTTTATCGCCATACCTAGGACGGCAAGCAAGATAAAAATGATATAAAATAGATAAATGGAAGTGTGTGTACTGAGATATGCTAATTTGTGTGTAAGATCCTGCTGAAGATATTTGAGAATAATTTTTTGTTGATTTATCACTTATCAGCATAAGCCATTTGCATACTGCGTTATGTATTATGCGACACGGGATTCACTATGGGCTCAGAAGTCCCACAGAAGGGAACAAAATATGTCTTGTCCTTACGGCATCCTGTGGGTAAATAGAGAAAGAAAGAATTTGCACCGTTTTCTTTTATACGGCATTTGGCAGTAAACGGTCGTAAACAGTACTCTGGCGGACAAATAGGGTAATCCTATATATTTATTGACAATATGACGTAAAGCTGTCGAGATGTGTATTACAATCTCATGCTGTCAAGTAAGTCATTTCTTTTTTTTTTTTTTTTTTAATAAAATTTTTTATCAGCATTGGTTGGTTAATGACAATTTTATTGTGCAAAAAATGATTGGCATAATAAAATCTGCCATAGTACAAATTTTCATTCAAATATTTATTCGAATCAATTAGAATAATATTTTATTGTAACACATTTTAAAACTAAAAACAATGAAAACTAATTTACGGTAATGTTTATCAAACAAAAGGTAGAAAAAACATTTTGGGGTATGATTTTATCTTCAATTTCACTGAAATACATACTGAAAATACGTACAACATTTTAACAAAAATATAACATTTCCACAAGTATATTAAACTAAGCTTGGTGGAATTAAAAATCTTATTGTAAATGACACTTTTGCAGAAAAATATTCTACTCACTTTCTCACCGACGTAGCATAGCTTCCCTGTGCCTTTTCTGTAAATATTTTCATGATAATTAATACCTAGACTTTATGATTTCAAGTGTACTACTAGACTGGCTGTTAGCTCTCATAATTCTACGTTGAAATGGTAACTAGATGTAACCGTAAGTTCTATACTAATAGTTTTTTCTTTAGTACTTCTCGCTTTTGAGACTCTAGGCTTATGGCCATATCACGTTGAAACATCGGTTCCTATACGATCACCGAAGTTAAGCAACGTCTAACCTAGTCAGTACCTAGATGAGTGACCGCTTGGAAATACCAGGTATTGTAAGCTTGGATGTGCGACTGGTGTAATGGACAACGGTTCTGAATTGTCAATCGGATAGCCAAATTCTAATTCCAGTTGGGTTCATTATATTCACTTACGATCACCGAAGTTAAGCAACGTCGAGCTTGGTCAGTACTTAGAAGAGTGACCGCTTTGGAATACCAGGCGCTGTAGGCTTCGATGTCTGTGTGGTGTAATGGATAATGACTCAGAATTGTTAATCGGAGAGCCGAGTTTTAATTCCAGTTGGGTTCGTTATATTCACTTACGCGCAAATAAACTTGGAAACGTCTCTTCTCCTTCAGCTATGGGTTAATTAATAAGACTTTATCACTAAATTGTTATTTTCTCAAAAAGAATTCTTACGATCTAAAAGTATTTTCTAGCTTTAAATAACCTGAAAAAGGTTGATAAGCCGTAAAAATTGAATCAATCAACCAATTCCTCATACTCTCCAGACATTTTGGCTGGCTCTTTCTGAATCCTTGTAGTTCCTATCCTTAAAACTTCCTAATTCCTCTTTAAATAACCTTTAAAGGGTTGATAAACCGTAAAAAACAACAAAAAAACAAAACAAAACAAAAAAAAACAAATCAGTCAATCAATAAAAAAAAAGCTTCCGGAACTCTCTTTCGGCTTTTTGCTTTCCAGTCAACATTTGATCTTCAAAAATTTAAATGCAATGTCAATCGTTATTTTCTGTCTTATTAATTCATGTCCTTTTACTGTTCTCTTTAATAATGTTTTCCTTTTCTCATATTTTATCACACTCAGTAACTCCCCCTTCATCTTAGTGGCTTTATTGCCTTACTTGGGAAGAAAAGATTAAAATAAATAAAACGTGTGCTACCTTTTGAATATCGAAAAAAAAAAAAAAAAAAAAAAAAACTTTTCCTTTTGCCGCGTTAATTGCCGAAGGCACTCGTGGATTTCTATTACTAATTAGTGAATGTTTGTCTGTCCATCCTTTATTGATAATTGGGAATATTTTGCCTGACATTGAGTTGTTTCTAGGTTTTCCCACAGTGAAAATATCTCAGTTTAATGAAACTATAATTCATATATAAGCAAGGTTGATAAATTCGGCTACATTTGAAAGACTAGCGCTGATAAGCGAAGAAAGTGGTTTTAAAAAAGTTAAGTTTAAAAGTTAAGCCTGCTTAATATAAAAGTGGCCACCGAAATGGCAAATGATAAAATTGAGAATTTAATATCACCCGGTTTTCAAAAGTCGTCAATTTAGGCAACCCTCTATATAAACGGACATTTATTTATTATTTTTTATCTTAAAAAGAATCAACATATAAGGTTTAAATAATAAAAAAGATCTCTTTGTGATTACTATTAGAGATTTATGTATATAATCTTACATGTCATTTAGGAGTTTGTTCTTTAATTCATTATACATACACGTACGATATAGTGTAATGGATATCGACACAGCATGAGAAATCGGAGAGCCGAGATCGAATTCCAGTCGGGTTTGTTACATTCACTTACACACAAATACCCTTGGGAAAGGTATGAATCCATCTCCCCTATGTGTTTAATACGACAGATTGGGTACTATAGCCTTGTTTGGCAACCGGTCTACCGCAGAAACAAACGGCAGTCTACTGCCATGAATCGAAAGAGACATGATCGCCCAAGCGTCTCTCACGTATGACATTTCACTGAACGTATTTTAAAACAAATAAACGTAAAAACAATTCTTGTAAAAATTCTTCATTCATCGAAGAAATTTTTTCTTAAGATAATAATGTCTTTAATATATCCTATTCATAAAATCAATTAAAATCTTTTCTAATTGAATGTCTTAGTTTTATTGAATTTTTATTTTATGATTCAGAAAATATTTCCTGTAACTGGTGTTTCTGTTTTACAAAGACAAATTGACGATTTAAATTCTCCACGGTGTTCTGCTTTTAACTAATATAAATATTAATGGGTAAAAAATTAATTTCTCGAAATTTCATAAGATTGAATAAGTGGAGAGTAAAAGATGTAAAAAAATAAATAAATAAATAAAAATAAAATATTTTTGCCAAGATTTCCTAAAAAAAATAACAAATATAACATAATTTAATTCATCTGTGAATAAGTTTAATTAAAATGCAAGAATTTCTAAATTAATGTGTTTTTCACCGCTAAAACAACGCTGAAATTTTCTATGCTAATATTTGGACCCCCCACCCACGCAAAAAATACAAGATTTTTAACCAAAAATTTCGAACGATTTATAGAGAATTAAAAACATTAATTAAATAATTAAAACATTTGCTCTTTCCTCTTAATAATAACAAAGATTTTGACGATAAAACTTTGTGTTTTTTTATTAAGTCTGAGGCATTTTTTTTTTTATCATTGTAAGCTGTTTTTAACGAATTGGGGGAGGTACCCAATTAAAATTCTCCTTAAGATAAATTTCAAAATATCATCCTTTAATAGAAGCATCCAAGTATTGAGTAACAGATCACGTCCATTTTCAATTGTGTAAATGAATCACCGTGCCACGCGGATTTAAAAAACAAAAAAAATATATGTGTTGTAGAGATGAGTGTCTGCTTTTAGCTCTCTACTGAAATAGTGACGATGACATTATTGTTATCGACTTGAAGTTACTTAATGGCGTGTTGACGGGAAATAAATGTCAAAAGAGATTAAATCTACAGTTATCCACATTATAATCAAGATACGAAGCGCTCCAGGTCTGTCCTCATAGACAAAGCAAAATACTATAATCCAGTTGTTGTTTTTCTTTTCTCGTCAAATAGTAACCGATGGTTGGCAACAAGAACAGTCAAGTATATTTTGCTGTCTTCAGCTTACGTGGTAATCCCGACAGTCAATAAACGCTTCCTCCATCATTTATGTTCTGAAGACAGTCTTGTAAAAAGAAGCTATATATATATATATATATATATATATATATATATATATTGATGCATGTTTCATTAAATAATATAGACAAGTGTTGTCTATTTATTTTATGTAAATCGTCTGATAAGCTTAATGACATTATCATTAAAAGAAGAAAGAAAATCACAATATTGGCACATTTTTTTAATCCTATCTAAGCTTTCGGCTTACATAAGCCATTATCAAAAGATAACAATTACATTTCAATATATTAAACAATACACGAATATGTCCTGTTTGTTGCTGTTAAGGGTGTTCAATTTTTCTTTGGCTATTTCGATTTGCCTTTTCACAAGGCTACATTTATAATTCCAAGTGTTGATAGTTTAATGGGCTGCTGGATCATGTAATTTAAATTGTGTGCATTTAGTCACCATTTTTTCATGTTTCCTTAAATAATATAGACAAGTATTGTCTATATATATCAATATGGTGATTTTCTTTCTTTTAATGATAATGTTAAGCTTATCAAACGATATGAAAAGAATTTACATAAAATAAATAGACAGCACTTATCTATATTATTTAATGAAACATGCATCAATGAAAAAATACTGCCTAAATACACATATAATATATATATATATATATATATATATATATAAACAAAAGAGATGAAGAGAGCAGACAGGGAAACCAATGGAACAAATGTGCTACAGACAGAATAAAAGATTTTTAAAATGCTGGATCGATAAAAGAATGAGAAGAGAACAGACATATTAGGAGGGGGAGAGAGAGAAAAACAGCATATATCCGCAAAAATGTCCTTAAAAAGGGTTCACGATATATGTGCCTTGTTCGATTAAAATATATCTTTTTTCTTCTGAGCCTCTTCTGAATATCTACAAATCCCATAATTTCTATTATAACTGGGACACGGACAGGTCGCCTTCCCTCAAAACCTTTTATACTCACATTATGCTCAATGATCTGTAGAATGGATTTTGGCAAAGATGGCTGAAACACAGTCTAAACGTGCTGACCCAGTCACAAAGCAAAATCACTAACAATATTGCAAAGTTCAAGGAAGAAAAGTACACTTAGTTAAGAGTTTAACAACTGCAAAGAAAAATATTTTTTTATTACATCAGTTGTGTTACAGTTATTCTTTTAACTCTTCTCGTGCTACGGTTTTCTCAAATGAGATCGAAAGTCGTTTAGACTTACGGCCAATCTACCTCTGGTGGAAGTACTAGCGTGCTAGGGATGGTCATGACGAGGAACAACCATGTCAAGCTTTCAGTTGTAAGCGATCACCACTTCTTCCTTCAGTTACTAATCTGGCCTAGCGTTTTTAACACACTGACTGTCAGCAACGAGTTATCTCACGTTTGACAGTTTTTAAGATGGCGCCGACTATGACTTATCTCTTGCTCGTTCTTTTCTGTTGCATTTTCATCTACGGGCGCCAATAATGAGTTTATTCGCAGTGAAACTTTTAGTGTGAAAACAATGTTAAGACTTCAGTTGAAAAAAAAATTGTCTAAGTTGGCTATTATAAAGTTGGAACTTGAAGTCAACTTTTGTAATTGAGGTCAACGTGTTAACTGGTATTTCAGCTGGATCCTGGCATCGCTTCTTGAGTCGGCGGGGGGGGGTATCTTCAGCAGCAGTTCTCGGTGATCCGAAATCGAGCTTGCGTTGCTCATACGTGGAAAAGAAACTCTCGCCTCTATTCCGTTCTCTTAACTGTCCCTTAGTCTTAGTTATAGAAACGAAAAGGAAACATACTTAACATCAAAAAGAGGCAGTTAAGATTTTTAGGGAACGTAATGAGAAAAGGAGGATTGGAAAATCTGATACTCACAGGACAGCAGGCGAGATAGAGGAAAACAACGCCTAACATAGTGAACTTGAGTAAATGGATGACCGAACAAGGTTTAGGAGAAGTGACAGAAAGAGAAAATTTATTAAGAGCTGCAAGAGACAGGAAGTTGCGGAGAGCCATGTTTGCCTACGTCTTGAGGGAGCACAGCATTTAAAGAAGACACGTCAAGTGGACTTAGCTTCGTCCAACGGCTTTTAGATTGACGGCTATTATAAAAACACTCAAAACTAGTTTTCAACTTTAAAATTTTTTATTACGTTTTATATTTATTTTGTAAGTTATGTGAAACCCTATTTTTAACATATATTTCTTATATACTAGCAAAATCCGTACTATAGATAGTAAGGATTTTGCTCCGTACTATTGCTCCGTAATATGATCAGAAATATTGAACTTTATATCGAATTTGTGAGCGCCTATTAGAAATTTTACTTTCTTTAATTAAGAATTATTAATTAATTATTGACCGCCAATCTTTTTATGGTTAAAAGTTTCCCCACAAGCAGCTCGATACTGAGAGAAGGAGATGAACAGACTCACAAATTAGATAGAATTATACTGACAAGTAGTTTTAGATTGAAGAACAGAAACAGGGAGAGAAGCTATACAAGTATTTTCCTATCGACGGGGTCTGGAAAACGCTAACAGTATTCTATTAAGAGAGGTAAGAATCTCTCTCTAAAAGAGGCAACTAAAGTATAAATGCCACCAATATTTTGCTAAAAACTCAAATACAAACGCCACAGACGCCTAACTATAGATTCATGTATAAGCCTGATCAATGTTGGCCTATAGGCTCATGTATAAGCCTGATCAATGTTGGCCTATAGGCTCATGTATAAGCCTCATCAATGTTGGCCTATAGGCTCATGTATAAGCCTCATCAATGTTGGCCTATAGGCTCATGTATAAGCCTCATCAATGTTGGCCTATAGGCTCATGTATAAGCCTCATCAATGTTGGCCTATAGGCTCATGTATAAGCCTCATCAATGTTGGCCTATAGGCTCATGTATAAGCCTCATCAATGTTGGCCTATAGATTCAAGTATAATCCCGACCAATATTTATATATAAACTCAAGTGCGGCCAAAAAAAAAAAAAATAGTTTCGACATTAAATAACGCAACAGATAGGTCATAAAATTCATCAATCCAATCTGTACAAGTATTATCCATATTCGAAGCGATTTTGGCTTTCATAAGCCAATTTCAAAGTAAGATCATATTTCTTTGCTAAAAATACTTTTAAATTTGTAAATTTACTTGCACGTCATGTTACGTCTTAGTTTCAAATGTCACGCCGTCATCTGATAGTCTGTGGGGGTTCAGAAATCAGAGAAGCAAATGTAAAGCCTACCAATGACTGTTTAGTGTTTATGTTCAGTTTACGTTAGGGGAAGGGAGAAACTTCTATTTCCGTGTGCTTTGTCCTATCAACAAATATCTAGTATGCTATGATGGTCGACAGTGAAAAACAAAAACTGAATGAATCAGCATGTGGACAAAGCACAAATTCACTGGCCAAACAGTGTCAGCGAAACATTCTCCTAGTCAACCATAACAGAACCCAATTGACTGTTACAAGGACATAGCAGAGAACCGCCCAGATATTTCACTGAATTTACTGTATATACTAAAGCAGTATTTCTCATACTTTTTTTTATTTCTCCGAGCCGCATTTTCGGAATTAAAATTTGCTCGCCCCCCTCACCAAATTTTATGTGATAAAAAATACATTTAAAAATAAAAGAGAGAGAGGATTAAAGGGAGATAACCGCGGATTCGAAATCAGAACATTATCATTGATAACTCTCTCCTCTAATTTGCGGACTTTAGTTATTATATTTTTAATACTTGATATAATGCAAAAATATCGAAATAAAATTAGTCAATTATTTATAACTATTTATACTGGGACTCATGCATGCAATTACAAGTAGTCCATAATAATATTTTAAATTTTGAAATCATATTTATTTTTGGCATAACTTTTTCTAAATCTGTGATTGTCTTTCAATCATTACGCCTCACCTATGAGGCACGCTTCACCTATGAGGCACGCCTCACCGTTTGGGAACTACTATACTAGAGTATAGGGCGAATTTTTTTCAAAACAAAAAAAAAAAAAAAAAAAAAATTAGAGGGTCGCACAATAACCAGATAATTTTTTGAAACATGTTAAAAATTATGCATTATCGGTGATCGGTTGCACTATACACAGGTATATTTTTTTCTGGAGAGCTTAAATTATACGCAAAAAACATCAGGGATCGTCGAAAATATGAAGTCGATTTATACACGAGTATATATGGTATCTGCTAATAATTGTGTTTGCATACGAGTATGTGCTATGTCATCATGGTTTCAGTCCCCCGAATTAAGATTTAGGGGAAACATTCACCGTCTATGGCTGACCTGCCAAAGGCCGGCAAAACGCGTACAAGTTAAGCAGCTTTTCCATAGTTGAAGTAGGAGAAAAACTTGCAGTTGAAAGGAGCCCATGTTTTACATCGCTACTTCTTTTCTTCTAGTTCAGTGATTTGTTACAAAGAACGAAATTACGTAAAAACCCATTATGTCTCCTTACCTACATGTTAAACTAATGACAATATTCGACGAGTAATATGTAGATAGGTTCACTTATTGTCCAGTTCACAAAACTCTTCGGTCTTTTGAACAGGAATAGAGGTTTATCCTTTGTTTCTCGTTTAGGATTAGGTTGCTTCTAAAGTCTTGTTCTATTTCACTCCCAGTAGGCCCTCTTGCGTCTTAGTGCCATTGTCGCTTTGCTTGGAGTGAATTTATTAAAAACAAAATCAAAGATATTCGGAAGACGATAGTCGTCCATTTTCGACGCCTCGCCGATTAGCCTCTTGCTTCAAGGTTGTAAGGCATGTGACATTGACTCTCTCTAGGACTTCAGTATTGGTGATAAAAGCATTCCACTCCCCATTGAAATTAGTTCAGATGCAATGTTGATGGAAATATCCGTTGAGGTGTAGTTGACGATGGTATATGACAAGCATTCAACAGTACGAAAGACAAGGTAATGGCTTTGTAAACTCCACAAGCTTTTGTCGTTCTAAGTCATTTTTAACTGTTCTGCCGTCCATTCACTTAAATTCTTCAGGTAGGTTACCCACTGCTTCCATCTGCTTCTCTTACCTTGAATAATTCCCGTGTGTGTTAAACTCTCCAGGCCTTTTTTCTTCATTACGTGTATCTCAGAAATGTTATTCTAAGTATAAGTTTCCTTGTTGTTACTATTTTCCTTAATACTTCCCGTTTTCTCACATTTTCTGCCAATGTATTCTCAGCATCCTTCTGTAGAACCATATCTCTGTCGTTTCAAGTTTCTTATTCATCTATAAGGATGTTGCTATATCAGATTAAATATTGCATAGCACTCTTTATTTGATTCTATTATTTTCTTGTATCTTATTACTTTTCTTAGTTTCTAGAAAACAACTTTCGCTATTCCAATTTTTTAAAAATCATTTCACTTCATACAAAGCAGTAAAGCCACTAAGACACAAGAGGTTAATGAGTGTGAATGAATGAATGAGTAAAAAAGAGAAACATTATTAAGGAGTGAGAACAACAGAAGAGCAATCAAGAAGACAGTAGATAACGATTGACATTACATTTGAATTTTTGAAGATCAAAGTTGACTGGAAAGCATAGAGCTGGAAGAGAGTTCCACTAGCGAGAAGTGCGAGAAAAGAAACTCTTTGCATAGAACTTACGGTTATATTTAGCCAATGCAATTGTAAACTGAGGAGACCTTATTGTCAAACTAGTAATTCATAAAGTCTAGGTAGCATAGGGAAGAGTTCAACCGAACAATTACCATAAAAGGTATTAATAAAAAAAAATTAAAAAAAAACGGCATAAGGAGGCTATACTACGGCAGTGGGAGAGTGACTGAAGCTGAGATGCCAGGGTAGGACCAATAACATTGATAATGCTTTAGATTCTATCAAGAACCTCTGAATCATCGGGCCATATTAATAGCAATAATCAAAGTAATGACGAATGGTATAATGTTTATCATCTTACCCAGGATGCAGATGTAGTTTATCGTGATATTCAGGACGCAAAAATGGTTGCACCATTCAAGTGACTTTCCCTTTTTGCAAAAGCCAGATCAGACCAAAAGTGGAGTTTGTTTTGTATATTTTAATCGTATCATCCCATACAAAGTAGTAAAGCTGCTAAGACATAAGGGATTATGGAGTGTGAAAGAATAAGAAAAGAATGAAACTTTATCAATGAGCAAGAACAACAGAAGAGTTAATCAAGAGAACAACAGATAATGATTGACAGTGCATTTGAATTTTTGAAGATCAAATTTGGCTGGAACGCATGGAGCTGGAAAAGGGTTCTACAAGTGGAAAGTGAAAGAAAAACTTAACATAGAATTTATGGTTAAATTTAGCCAATTCAACTGTAAATTGATGAGACCCTGTGGCCAATTTAGTACTTCACTTAAATTCATAAAGTTTCAGTCCCATAGCAAAGAGTTTATCCAAGCAATTACTGTGAAAATATTTATAGAAAAGGCACAGGGAAAATTATAGTGATAGGTAAGTAACTGAAACCGAGATGTCAGGTCAGGACCAATAATATTGCTAATTCTTTTGGGTATTTTATCAAAGATCTCTAGATATACAACAGAACCATCAGACCATATGTGGCAGCAATATTCAATGCATGGATGAATGGTAGACTTATAAATATGTAAGATACATTCTGGTGTGAAAATTGTCTAGCACGACACAGTGAACCAAACTTCTTAGCAGCAGACCTACCAATGGATTTAATATAATCTTTCCACTTGATGTCAGCTAGGAACGTTAGGCCGAGAAGGCGCAATGAGTCACTTTCCTGGAGGTTAGCATCAGCCATATTGATGAAAGGCAGAAAGGTCTCTCTCAGATGATTAGTAGAGAGAAGTTTCGTTATGGAAGCGCTAAAATTAACATGCTATTCTCTTCCCCAGTTAACAGCTGATTGTAGATCATTTTTTTTAGATCAGCTACCAATCTTTATCGAAACGATCAGACTTACTATCGAGACAGGAACAAATGGTTGTGCCATAGATACCAAGTTGAGAACTGGTACCACCAGGAAGATCGTTAATGAAAATTAAGAACAGAGCAAGCGCAAAGACAGAATCCCAGGAGGACATCTGTATTAGCATAAAAGAACTAGAAGAATAGACATTCAGGACAACTTTTCTAATTTTGTCCGCTGTTTCTAAAAATGTAAGATTTTTTTAAAAAAATTGTTTTTCTCATTGTGAGAATCTATTTATCATGGCTTTTATTATTTATTATTATTGTTTCAGCATTACTTTGGACGGCACCCGAAATATTACGTGTACACGAACCACCTTCCCGCGGTACACAAGAAGGCGACGTTTACAGTTTTGGAATTATTCTTCATGAAATTGCTTTCCGTCATGGACCGTTTCCAGCTGAAAGGATGATCTCAAAAGGTGGGAGAAATTTAGAAATTATTATCAAAGACAAACTCTTACGCTAACCACTATACGGTTCTTGTACGAACTATATAGGGGTTAGCGACTCGGAAAAAAAGTTAGCGAGCCGAGTTCGAATTCCGACCGTATCCGTTAAGTTCACTTTTGCACAAATACCCTTGGAAAGACGATGAATCCTTCTTTTCCCGTCAAGCCTGACTGGACTGTCTTGTCTTGGGGTCGCGACTAGCCTGGGAGAAGAAAAACTGAACTCTAAACCAGACTGAAGAGGGATGGGCTTCGACAGACTATCTTTGCTAACACACATCATTTATGCTATGGTTGTAATACCCTTAGTGTCCTAATTAGTTACAGGACTCAGAATAGATAAACGGAGAGATATGAACAGACAGAGACAAAAACTGTTTCATATCAGAATATTTTGTAAATTTTATTTATTTATTTTAGTCCTAAATAAGCGAAGATAGAGATGTATGTAGCGGTATGGTTCCGTAAAGAGAATGTTACATCAAGATCCCACTCTAAAACATAAAAAGAAAATTGAAAACTTAGTCAAGTAGAATTTGTTATTTCCTCCCTTGCCAATAGCAGATTGGAAAGAGAGATGAATTTTCCCTTAAACTGCGGAAAAAATGTTATAGATTGTAAAAATAAAGGAAAAAAGAGAAATAAATCTAGGAATCTAATATTTATTTTAATATTTTTAACTGTATAATACTCCTTGAAGTATTCTATGCACAACGTATTTCTTTATTTTGGCTCCAAGTTTTCATCATTTTCTCCTCTATTTTTGGAGAAGTATGCATTAAAACAACATCCAGCTTTATTTGCAGGCAAATACCCTAGCAAATTATGTCATTTGCAGGCAAATACGCTAGCAAATTATCATTTGCAGGCAAATACCCTAGCAAATTATGTCATTTGCAGGCAAATGCCCTAGCAAATTATGTCATTTAGACTCAAATCATGACCAGATAATCCCTGCATCTTTTGAAAAGGTTTAAATCATCAATTGATGATAATCTGATGATTACTAATGAAACAGCAATTGTTAATGCCCGCCGTTTAAGGAATAATGATAAGGTCACTATCTTGTCCACTAAGTAAAGGGAAAGGCTTGAATAGTATAAGATAGCCAGAGGTCGACCACATCCGGCCCGCGAAGGATTTTTGTCCGGCCCACCAGTTTAATACCTGGACACTAATTATCTAATTAATTTGTGAAGCAAATGATAGAAAAAAATATCAGCTGGAGTAAACTTATAATGCGACGAATTTTTTTAAATCAAAATTTAATTCCGAATCCACTTCTGGCTACAAGAAATATTTTTGCCAAGCGAAAAATAGAAAAGCCTATTGAATAATGAAAAGATGATTTTATTTGGAAGTACATATGTGTGTGAACAACTTTTTTTCGAAAATGAAATATACTAAAAGTCGTTTAAGACCAAGGCTGGGAGATGACCACCTGGTTGATGGTTTGCTCCCGTTATGGACAAATATTTCACTTGATGTAGAGCAGTTATCGAATAAAAGTCTCAGTATGTGTCTATATTTCTGAGATGAGGTATTATGTACACTATTTACATTATTCGAACTATTGTCCTCATCTTTGTCGACATGTTTATTACAACGTTTCGGCCGTTGTACGCTCCGGCATTCTTCATGTGGTTGGAATGTCGAACTGAACCCTTTATTTCGCTCACTGGGGTAGACTGTTCTAGTTCCACTGTTTAATGGTTGTCAGTTATCTCCTGTTAACTCCCCTCTGAAAGTTCTCCGCTGCCTTAACCAGGTATTGAACTCACACTCTTTGGGTCCTGTCACTGGATCTAACTAACGCCTTTATCCACTGTGCCATATGTTCTTGAGGCAGTGGAGAACTTGGAAAGGGAAATTAACGGGTTCATTTCGACATTCCAATCATCTGAAGAAGGCCGGAGCGTACAACGGCCGAAACGTTGTGATAAACATGGCGACAAAGATGAGGACAATAGTCTGAATAATGTAAATAGTGAATAAAGTCTTATTAAATAATTTGCCATTTCTAACTGCATTCCGTTTGTAGTAAGGAATTTGCATTTTTTGTTGTGTTACTTGTTATCCTGTTATTCTTGCAGTAAAATAAGGAACATTGTTTAAATAATATAACATTAACTTCGTTGTTTTTTCTTTAAATTTCCAGAGCAAAGTAGCCTTCTGGACAAAGTGGTCTGAGGTCGAGAAAATTTCTTATAATGCATTTAATAATAATAATAATAATAATAATAATAATAATAATCCCTCGAGAGGATGCATAACTTTCTGGCCCGCTCTCTCCAAAAGACTGCCGAACCATGAGATAGATTTCTTGATAAGAACAAACTGAGAGACGGAAAAAATGTTCCATATCAGAATCGTCTGTAAATTGTGCTTATTTTGCTTTTATACAAATAAAGACGGTTAACATGGAAAATACGTAGCAGTATGTTACCATTCTAAAGATACAAAAACCTAAATGGAATACGTATTTAAATACAGTTCATTAATTCTTACCTTGGGAATCTAATAACAGTTTCTGATTGGACAGACACATGAATTATGGCTAACGGCACAAGCTGAAGTACGATGTCTCGCATGCTGCTCTGGGACGCCATTACTTTGTGCAGTGAATTTGATCTTCATTGTTTTCTTTGCTATTGTAGTAGACTAAACTAAAACAAGGTAAAATATACATATATCTATCATAGGATACTTGCCCTTAATGTTTATCATATTAATTTTCTTTGCAAGTAAATCAGATTCTTACTGAGTGCCTCACACCTGTACATTCGTGACAGACTAGGCTTAACTTAGTAAATACCTATACATTCATAAATTTATCATAGGGTAGCTGCTATATAGTAATGGCAAATATGTTATTTTCGCAAGCGATTCTTAGTATTCTGTTGCGGACACCGTTACAAGTGTACAAATGTAGGTATAATAACTTGTTGAAGTGTAATGAAAGCTTGTTACATGCCGGTTAAAATAATGCCGATAAGAGACCTCTGGATTGGACACTTCCCTTAAATTCTTACGACGGGCTGTTACACGTCTATTGCTTACTGCTCTTCTACTGTAGGCCTGTATCAAACTTGTCTCTGATTAATAAATATTTACTTAAATTTTAAGTAAGGATTAACAAGAGAAAGGGAATATAACACTAATTAATGCTTTACATTGTTCGGACTATTGTCCTCATCTTTGTCGCCATATTTATTACAACGTTTCGGTCGTTTTACGCTCCGGCCTTCTTCAGGTGGTTTGAATGTCGAACTGAGCCGACCAAGCATAGAAATGAATACAATATGTGAACCAGTAATAAGGAGTGCCAGAGAAAAGCGATATGAGCTCTGGTAAAAACATGAATGATAACAGCAAAAAAATGCAACATGAGCACTGGTAAAAAAGTTGTTGCTGAAGACATTAGGTTTATAATACCCAGAAATTCATACACAGATGTCCTCAAGGACACATGGCACAGTGGATAAAGGCGTTAGTTAGATCCAAGGACATGACCCAAAGAGTGTGAGTTCAATACGAGGAAGAGGGGAATTAACTGATAACTGACATCCATTAAACAGTGGAACTAGCCCAGTGAGCGAAATAAAGGGTTCAGTTCGACATTCCAACCGGAGCGTACAACGGCCGAAAAAGATGAGGACAATTGTCCGACTAATGTCAATAGTGTACAAAATACCTCATCTCAGAAATTTCTTTGGTAAAAATGAATGATGTGAAAAAAACAACTGTTAAGTGTGCAATACAACAAATATACAGACACGCTTACGGTCATATCACGTTGAAAATCGATTCCCGTACGATCACCTAAGCCTGATCTGTCATCAATACCTAGATGGGTGAGCGTTTGAGAATACCAGGCGGGTGGTGTAATGAATAATGGCTCGGGGAGAGCCGAGTTTCAATTCCAGTTGTGTACGTTATATGCACTTACGCGCAAATACTATTGTGCAAGATATGAATCCATATGAATCCACCTAGCAATACACAGTAGAAATATTTTCTGGCTTTAAATAACCTAGAAAGTGTTGCTAAACCGTAAAAAACGAATCGCTCTTGATGTACACTGGAGAATAAGCCAAGAGAAAAATGCTGACAAAGGAGGGACAAAACAGTCTTTTACTTTAAAATTACAGTTTCACTAGCGACACTCATGCCGAGTCGTTATCTCTCGAGTCGTGAGAAAAAAAAAAAAAAGCGGCGTTCGCCTAGTTTGGCTGCTGGTCGGAAGCTGATTTCTGGTTGGCGTTATTTTCCCGCTCGTGTGCCTTTGTCATGCGATACTTTATACGTAAGGACTGATAATTGTTTTTATGACCCAATATAACTATCGAAATAACTTGTTAATTGGGAAATAAGAAAAAAAAAACACGATAGATTTCATTTAAAAAGTTAATGTTATTTATTTATTCACTTTTACATCTATTGTATATTTATTCGTGGAGAATAAAATTACTTTTTTTCTATAATACGTTTATTACAAACGAAAAATAGTGGAGAGTTTGTTACAGAAACCTGGTGACCTTTTTGTATTTTTTGTTTTTGTTTTTTTGTTGTTTTTTTTTTCCTTATCCAAAAGGTCGTTGGTATTCAACTAATTTTCTTCTATATATCTGACGTAATGCGTCATGTCGACCACACTTGCCTCTCGAATAAATGGCGATGTGTCAGATAGAGGAAGACTTTCACGCGGTGGTGTAATGGGTAGCGGATCGGGTTGAGAAATCGAATAGCGGAGTTTGAATTCCAGTCAAGATTGTTACATTCACTTACATGTAAATACCCTTTAAAAGAAAAAAAAAAAAAAAAAAGGTATGAATCCATCTCTTCTCCCACCCCCAGCAAGAGAGACCGGGTCCTGTAGTCTCAGTTGGCAGTATATGAAGGAAAACTCTAAATTCGAGGAGAACTGTGTGTACCAATTCTCAGTATTCGGTTCTTCCAAAAAGTTTTGTTTGTTTGACACCGCTATAATCCAATCGGATAGCCTGGCTGTTCTAAGGACTGAACTGCTGAAGTTTCATACGTCGAAAAACGACCGTAGAGTTCATTTTATATAAAAGGTGATTGAAAAGTAACTATTTTTATGTAAGATGGACTGTCCCATCTAACAATAATTTTTATAAGACGGCAGAGTCCATCATATATAAAATAGGGAGTTATTTTTCAATTACCCTGTATGTGGTATTTTCACATGTACTTATAATGTTCGATTTAGTAGGTACAAATCCCGTTTTCTTTATTGTTTTTAACAATGTAAATTTACGTCTCCCAGCGCGTATATTCAAGAGTCTTCATATAGTAAATGTGCCTTCCAGTAGGGTCCGGACATGCGCCCCTCTTTGTAAAGGAAACCACTGTTTAGCCTAG